ACCCCCCACCCCCTCCCCCCCCCCAAAAAAAAAAAAAAACACCAAACAAACAAAAAAACAACAACAAAAAAAAACAAAACAACAACAACAACAACAACACAAAAACAAAACACTGTTGTTTCTATTTATAATTTTTTAAATGTTTAAACGCCAAAAAATGCCCATGTTCAGAATATCTTGCTCTAAAACTGATAGAGGGTAACAGCACCTTTTTTAATTTATATAAATAAATTAATAAATAAATAAATATATAATATAAATTAACAACTAACCGTCAATCATCCCTAAAGTATAAAAAAAAAATACAACAAAATGAAAGTTAAATTCAGCACTGTATTTCGTAGATCACCGTCGAAATATTCGACTGGATTAAGCGGTCGCTAATTTGCATTCGATATTTCATCTGTTTAAGCTAAATAAATATTTTTTGGGGAACATGAAACAACCAACAACCTCAATTCAATTGTAACTCGATACAGAAGCCAGGATTAACCCACGGCCATAACCCCCTAGCACACACTGTTGACACACCACTGTTATATAGGTAGATAGATGCTATTTTTTTTATTGTGAGAACCGGCCAACGTGGCACAAACTGATTGACGTATCTTCCATCGGTAATTCATTTTATCTCATTGTGGCGCAGCTTGAAGAATGCACCCCGATAAGGTGTGTAGACCACAACACAAGACATTGTTATGAATGTCACTTTTTTCTCTTACAACCAATTGCCGTGTACTCTCTATACAAATTTATTAAGAAAATGAGCGAAACAAAATATGGAAAAAACCTGAAAAAAAAAGGGGCGCTAATTTCCTTTTATCGATTTCAAAAATATTTTTGTTCGTTAAAATCTTATTTTTCACAGTAATAATACATGCATTCTTTAACTTCTTGTAATCTTTGTTTTTGAAAATCCAACTTCCGACAATAACATTAATGGTGAACATTTTAAGTTTTTTTAAAACACTTTCTATTTCTTGCTATATGTTCAGTTGTCCTGTCTGCTGAGGAAGGCTTTGGGCCGAAACGTTATTCTTGTATCGTCCCCCCTTTCTATTTCAACCTCCACATACCTTGTTCTTCTGTTTCATTCAAACAGCGTGAACGTAGTCCTTCATTTAGTATCCTTTTCCTTGCCTGATTGCAGTATCTCCTCATTACCGTTTATTAACGCATCAACACTGGCTCTAGTTTTTTTCTCGGACACAGTTTCAGAAAAGTTCTTTTTTGAATTTTCTCTACCCCCCCCATTTCTATTTTTCAACTTGTTATAAGTTCGCATATTTGATCTTTTTGTCAACATATTTTTTTTTTTCATTTCGTCCTCTTTTAGGTTTCATACTTCCTGTTTCTCACCGTGATCGCAATCCTCCCTTCATTATTCTTTTCACTAGCTAGGAAGCAGATTTAGACAGAGGTGTAGCTGGTCGGTGTGGGTGGGGGGGGGAAGTCCCGGTGTCTGGACCCATTCCTGATGGTTCGAATTTTAAAAACCGTTTGATACAGCGGTAAAGCACACAACTATATTAGAGTGCTCAAAGGATGTCTAAGGTGGGACTACTCCCTGTCGGAAAATTCACCGACACAGCCCCCTCCCCCCGTGTTGCACATATAGACCTGCCATGTCTACCTTCGCTCTGACTTTTCGGCAGGCCTCTAGAGCCCTATAATAAAAAACAAAACAACACCCTCATGCACAAAGAGAGTTTATTGTTTGTAAATGTGAATGCCTTTTCCGGTGCTTCGCTCTGGCAAGTGACAAAAACGATCTCCTGTCCTCTCATCCGCCTTGACATACTTTAACTGTGATTAACTTATAACACGGACATGGTTTGCACCTCTTACAATTCAACTTTACGGATATATCAAACTTTTAAGGGCCTCCTCCTTCTATTAACGTTGAATCTCTATGATAACAATTTCCGATCGTTAATAACTGAGTTTTGTAAGTGCGACTTCCGTCGAAAGACCTCACACACTCAAGTCACAACGCATTAAGTGCGACTTCCGTCGAAAGACCTCACACACTCAAGTCACAACGCATTAAGTGCGACTTCCGTCGAAAGACCTCACACACTCAAGTCACAACGCATTAAGTGCGACTTCCGTCGAAAGACCTCACACACTCAAGTCACAACGCATTAAGTGCGACTTCCGTCGAAAGACCTCACACACTCAAGTCACAACGCATTAAGTGCGACTTCCGTCGAAAGACCTCACACACTCAAGTCACAACGCATTAAGTGCGACTTCCGTCGAAAGACCTCACACACTCAAGTCACAACGCATTAAGTGCGACTTCCGTCGAAAGACCTCACACACTCAAGTCACAACGCATTAAGTGCGACTTCCGTCGAAAGACCTCACACACTCAAGTCACAACGCATTAAGTGCGACTTCCGTCGAAAGACCTCACACACTCAAGTCACAACGCATTAAGTGCGACTTCCGTCGAAAGACCTCACACACTCAAGTCACAACGCATTAAGTGCGACTTCCGTCGAAAGACCTCACACACTCAAGTCACAACGCATTAAGTGCGACTTCCGTCGAAAGACCTCACACA